TTAATGAGATAATGTGTGGAAAGTATTTTGACTTTCCTACATGATCTTTCTTTTTAAAAAAATAAAGTTGTATTAAGACTTTTCATAACACAATAAAAAACAAACTAATCTAAGCACAAAAAATTTAAAAAAAACAAGAAAAAGAAAGGAAGGAAGGAAAGAAGAAAAAGAAGATAGAAGAATTCAGCCTTCTCTCACAGGTATATCTCAACTTTTGTCCCAAAAAGAAAAAGGGTGAGCCCTCCCAGCTCTCACCTGGGAGCACCCGACTTTTCTGTATGATTTATGCATTGTAAGTATTAGCTTAACACACAATTTCACCTTGGTGCATGTGTATTTCTCTTTTTCCAGACAGATTTGTTAATAGGAAGATACAACTTTCTGTCTAGAAAGTTCTGCCCGGACAGCAGGTGCTCTCTTCCTGAGCTACAGACCCAATTTGTGGTTGAACACATAAAACATATGTGTAGAGGCCGTGTTCAGAAGTTGTGCCGAACTTACAAAGGCCAGTGTCGGTGTGTGCTCAACCAACACAAATATGTGGTCTAAACTGGCCTAATCGAGAGTGTGAGCTGTCAGATGGTCTGTGCTACAGAGCATGCATCTGTGTCACCAGCAATCAGGTTGAAAATTAATCTGTGCCCGAATGCACCGATAGCCGCGTTTCTAGGGGACAGGGCTCTATTGTTGACATGAAAAATAAAGTCTCTGGGAGTGGAACAGATTGGACAGTGTCAAGAGTTCCAGACGTTCGGCAAAAGAGCCGATGACTCATCATTTGATTATTTAACTAAGTTGTATTGAATGCGTGCATGTTAAGCCAAGAAGACACATGGCTTATCTGTTTAGGTTATTGATTGACTTAGAATTGATTTGAAAAGGAGACAGGTGTTGATGGGAGGCAAATACACAGCTACGGAACAAACGGGGTGGGGGCTGACGTTTGGAAGGCAACAGCTTGTGCTGATAAAGAAATAGAGCAGCCCCCCTGCCCAGTCTGCTTCCCCTCCCTCCAGAGCACAGGAGTTGGAGTAAACAGCCAGGCAGAGCAATGTGCAGGCGTCCTGCGCCAGGAGACTGCTAGGACTGAAGTGCAATGAGAATGGCCGTGGCTGGGAAGCTCTTGCAACAAACAAGTGTCATTTTGGCACTTGGGCATCATACAAACTTAGGAGCAGCCTGTGTGGGGGTCACATAGCCACCTTCCCAACAGGGGCACTGCCACTGGGAGGCCTGGGACAAGCAAGGTGACAGCAAGGTTGGGGCTGCCCAAGCCCCAAGTGCACCAGCCAGAGCTCAGGATTGGTGCTGCCCCTGTGCCCACACAGCTCCGACTTCGCCACTGCCCTTCCCTTCCCCATCCCTGTAAATGGAACCAACAGCACCTGCAAATACATAAACGGGCATTTTACTTGCTAGCAGGATGTTTCCAGAGAAGCATTCTCTAATGAATCTCTTAATAGCAATTTGTGATGCCGTTCCTCTTTGCCCATGTAAAATATAAATGTTGTTGTTTAGTCATTTAGTCATGTTCGACTCTTCATGACTCCATGGACCAGAGCACGCCAGGCACTCCTGTCTTCCACTGCCTCCCGCAGTTTGGTCAGACTCATGTTTGTAGCTTCGAGAACACTGTCCAACCATCTCGTCCTCTGTCGTCCCCTTCTCCTTGTGCCCTCCATCTTTCCCAACATCAGGGTCTTTTCCAGGGAGTCTTCTCTTCTCATGAGGTGGCCAAAGTCTTGGAGCCTCAGCTTCAGGATCTGTCCTTCCAGTGAGCACTCAGGGCTGATTTCCTTCAGAATGGATAGGTTTGATCTTCTTGGAGTCCATGGGACTCTCTAGAGTCTCCTTCAGCACCATAATTCAAACGCATCAATTCTTCGGCGATCAGCCTTCTTTATGGTCCAGCTCTCAGGTCCATACATCACTACTGGGAAAACTATAGCTTTAACTATACGGACCTTTGTCGGCAAGGTGATGTCTCTGCTTTTTAAGATGCTAAAATATAAATAAACTTTTGCTAATGGTTAGTCATGCACTCAGGGCTTTTTCCAGCCAGAACTCACTAGCTCAGTTCCGGCACCTCTCAGGTGAGTGCCATTGCTATTACAGTGGTACTTTGGTTCTCAAACACCTTGGTACTCAAACGCCTTGGTTCCCAAATGCCGAAAACCCAGAAGTAAGTGTTCCGGTTTTCAAACGTTTTTCAGAAGCCGAACGTCCAATATGGTTGTTGGCTATTGCTTCAGCGGCGCCTGCACCAATCAGAAGCTGCGCCTTGTTTTTCGAACATTTCAGAAGTCAAACGGACTTCCGGAACAGATTAAGTTTGGCGCTTTTGTTTTTGCTATCTATTTTGTGGGTTTTTTTGCTTTTGAGGCTTTTTCGGTTAATTTGTTTTTGTGACTGTGTGGAACCCAGTTCAGCTACTGATTGATTGTGTGACTGCGGAAATGGATAAAAGCCCCCCATCCAAACAATGACTATCATCAGTGCAGGTAAGAAAAAAAATAATTTCACTTTTTATCAGCTACAATACTGTCTTATTTATTTTATAGTACAGTACATTGATTATTGCTTTCATTTTATGGTTAGATAGTAAAATTCATGTTAAATTGCTTTTTTTAGGGGTTATTTTTAAAAGTCTGGAACAGATTAACCCGTTTTGCATTACTTTCTATGGGAAAGCATTACTTGGTTTTGGAACGCTTTGGTTTTGGAACAGACTTCCAGAATGGATTAAGTTTGAGAACCAAGGTACCACTGTATAAGAGAACAAGGGAGGCGTTCACAGTGAGTTCTGGCACCTCTTTTTATAGAAAAGTAGTACTGCATGTACCAAGTGCTTGTCTCTCAGGTGTTCCAGTTGCTGTATTGTTTTTAACACTCGATTGGGAGCCGCCCAGAGCGGCTGGGGAAACTCAGCCAAATGGGCGGGGTATAAATAATAAATTATTATTATTATAATTATTATTCCTCACCTGGGGTGTTAATTGGTTGCCTTTGACTGGGTTGTTTGTGTAGTTGTATTAGCCAGTCCGGAAGTTCTGTGTCTGAGACCCCAAACTATAGTAATACAGATGTAGAGTTGTATGGTGTGTGTGTGTGTGTGTGTGTGTGTGTGTGTGTGTGTGCGTAGTGATTAACTCTATCTCCTGATTCACCGATTTGAAGCTGACACCACCCTTCTCATGTCATTGTTGTGCCCTTGGCTCCAGTTTGAGATTCTAGTCAAAAACAAGGTAGATCCCACGAGCCTGAAGTGCAATATCTATTGCACGGGACTTGTCAAACACACTGGTCCTTCTCCCTGCAACCTTTTCCGAAGACTATGACTTCAGTAGGCAGCTGATGCGGCTAATACATTTAGTCCAATTTTCTTCAGTAGCATGAAAGCAAAACCTTATTCAGCCAAAATTATCTTATGTTCCGTCTTCTCATTTCCAAATTATGACAGGAAACACACAACAAATGCTACTCACAATGCTCTATACTTAGCTCAGTTGCACAGTAATTACCTCTTCTTATTATTTGTCACCCACACATCCCATAGGTCTGATATTTTCTTTTTGATTTTTTCTTAACTGCTTCCTGAATATAAAAAGGGAGTGGGGAAGGTGGCAGCAGTTGACCTACATTTCTAGGTCTGGAGATAATAGATAATACAGATTGTAGGAGATACAACACAATCAAAGTGCTGTAGTGGAATTAATGCCTGAATGAACTACACCCCCTTTTTTGGTTTTATTACTAGATACCTACAACGCCACAAACAATTAACCTGAGAACAACAAAGAGTCTTGGGAGACACCCAGACCTGTTGGACTGCTCCACTTTTAAATGTGTAGGCATGTCATATTAGTTCAGTGTTGTGATGTCTAATCCAGTTAGCTAGTTATTATGATGCCTAAACCACTCTTCATTATTTAATACCTGATGGGAGAGTTTCAATATCAGACTTCCAGACAGTATCGGAGAACCAAAGCTACGCAAGACTTGTTTAAAATTCAACTTAATTAGCTGTAGCCTATGCACCGCAATGAAGTCTCTTATGGCTCAGATCTACAGTATATGTTGTTATTGTCTGTTGTGTACAACTCCTTTTTTCTTAGTCGACCTCAAGCAAACTTCTCAAGCAAAATATCACAACAATTCAAAGGAGGAAGGCGCCATAGCAAACCCTCCAAGTGATCCTATTTTCCAGGGACAGTCCTAGATTTACAGAAACTGTCCTGGTTTTTGATTTGATACCAGAATGCCCTGCTTTTCCTTAGGACGTCCCTATTTTCATTGGAGAAATGTTGGTGACCCCCGAGCCAAGGAAAGAAGTAACTATACTGTGGTACCTCAGGTTACAAACACCTCGGGTTACAAACACTTTGGGTTACAGACTCTGCTAACCCAGAAGTAGTAGCTTGGGTTAAGAACTTTACCTCAGGATGAGAACAGAAATTGTGCGGCGGCAGTGAGAGGCCCCATTAGCGAAAGCGCGCCTCAGGTTAAGAACGGTTTCAGGTTAAGAATGGACCTCTGGAACGAATTAAGTTCATAACCAGACGTACTACTGTATAACCTTTAGAAGATATCTGAAAGCAGCCCTGTATTGGGAAGTTTTTAAAAAAATGTTTAATGTTTTATTATGTTGTTATATATGTTGGAAACCACCCAAAGTGGCTGGGGCAACCCAGCCAAAGATAGGCAGATAATAATAATAATAATAATAATAATAATAATAATAATAATAATAGGATAGGACACCCCTATTTTGATCAGATAAATGTTGGAGGGTATGCCATAGCTCAGTGTGAGAGCACCTACTTTGCATGCAGAAAGTTCCAGGTCTATGCAACAGCATCAGGCATGATTGCTGTGCCAGCTCTTAGCTGGAGCAGTGATATCTCTTTCCCTCAGAAAGGGAACAAAAAAAATCTCTGCTGGTTGACAGAAGCAGCAGGGAGCAGATGCAGTGGTATCTCAGTCGAGGTTTGGACTGCAATCTACACACACACACACGCACACACAAACAAATCTATCGATATAGAGATGTGTGTGTGTGTGTGTGTGTGTGTGTGTGTAAAACTAAAAGAAAGTCAACTACAAGTTCTAAATTATGCCTGCATTTTGGATTCTGTATCCCCTCTAAATAGTAGAACAGAGGCATATAAACTCCTTGCTGTTTCTCCCTAGCATGGATTTCTGGCCTCGATCTCTTAGTTGTTGTTTTCTCACCTAGAGTCTGTTTCTAATATAGATTTGAACTGCAGATAGCACACATAATTACAGATTCCGTCATCCTCACTGCAATCTCTGCCACTTGGGAGAAAACCGATAATTATTACTTTCCGAGGTATTAGAAATTACTTCTATATATGGATGGAGCAATCTCTGGAGTCTAGCATTCTTTTGTACATCTTCTGTCCTTTGCAGCTCTCCCTCTGAGTATTGTGATGGCATTGCCAACACAGCTTCCTTCCTTGATATGGCACCAAATTGCCATGGCAGGGCAGGCTGATAATGAGGCATGCCACCTGCTTTTCCCTTTTGTGCTATTTAGGGTTGCCATATGACCTCTTTTTCCAGGACATGTTCTCTTTTTCATGGGTATGTAAAATGAGAGTCGTCATAGTTAAAAGTAGGTAAAGGGTAAAGGGACCCCTGACCATTAGGTCCAGTTGTGACCGACTCTGGGGTTGCGGCGCTCATCTTGCTTTATTGGCCGAGGGAGCCAGAGTACAGCTTCCGAGTCATGAGGCCAGCATGACTAAGCTGCTTCTGGCGAACCAGAGCAGCCCACGGAAACGCCGTTTACCTTCCTGCCGGAGTGGTACCTATTTATCTACTTGCACTTTGACATGCTTTCGAACTGCTAGGTTGGCAGGAGCAGGGACTGAGCAATGGGAGCTCACCCCGTCGTGGGGATTCGAACCGCCAACCTTCTGATCGGCAAGTCCTAGGCTCTGTGGTTTAACCCACAGCGCCACCCGCGTCCCTTTTATAGTTAAAAGTAGAAGTTGGCAAATGTGTCCTCTTTTTTTTGCCCTTCAAAATATGGCAACCCTAGCCCTGTGTGAAGTCACTGAGGCTGCTTTTTACATAAGGCCATCACTCTGCCAGCAGCAGAACTATTTGGTCTCTGAAGACTATGAATGGAACAGAATTTGGGTTTAGTTCACATTTGAAGGTGGACCAACCTAAGCTGTGTAGCAAAAAAAAGCAGAACATGTCATTGTCTTAAATTTGTACTTCTCAAATTTTGCAATGCAGCTTTCCAGGAAAATATTTATGTGTTCAAACATCCATTTTATGCATCCAGGGTGCATAAAAAAGACTATATTGGTGAAAACAACATACAAAAATGCATTATTTTAAGGGGAAATTGGTTGTAAAAAAAAATTGCACTAAAATGCTGGTGAATTTTCATGGGAACTTTTTTTTTTTAAGTAACAAACTGATGTGGAAGTGTGAAGAACTGGACTGTGGGTTTGAAAAACAAGAAACAAACTGAAATCGACAGATTCACCCGTGCCTGCTGAAGCCTGATTTCAAAGCCCTAGTGTGGGACACAGCGTGTGACAAGAGCCCCCAGTTAGACACACACAAACAACAAATTGCAAAAATAAATAAATCAATGATTCATTCTCTTTTCAGACTTTCCTATTGCATTTAGGCCTGAGGCATGTTGAATTCTTATGACCTACTGTTGTAAAGATGGGAGAAACTTTATTCTTGTCATCCCCACCTTTGTCAAGTACTGATGTCACTGATCCAGCTGGTGATAAGGAGCAGCCAGAGCTATGAACATTTGCTGCAGTTGGAGAATAAGCCTGGTGGACACAGAAAAGTGTATGTTAGTTATCCCCCTTCTTGGCAGATGACCTTTTAAAAAAGCTATTACAAAAGTAAAGCACAAATCTCTGAACAGGAAATACGCTTGGTTGCATTTATTAGTATACCTGTGCCCTAGAATGATCAACATCAATGTAATTTCGTGAATCATGCTGTGCCCATCAATGTGTCTTTTTTAATACACGAGAATGGGCACCATTGATAAGATACAATTGTGCTGGCAGTGGCAACCAATACTGCAATAGAGAGCAGTGTGGTGACCAACAGTACAAGTATGACCTGATTAGATAGCCAACCTGTCTCCTTTTTCCTCCCTAGGAAGCTTTTATGCCTTACATCATGTGCTCCCTGCAAGGTGTTGCAAGAGCGGGAGCAAACAAAGCACATCCTTTTCACCCACTCACCTCTGTTTGGAAACCGACACAGGTAAACCACACTGGTTGCATACAGCCGAGGTGTGTTCTACTTCTTTGTTTTCACCTCACGGGCCATTGACATGCTTAAGTGTACATAATCAGGTCTTGATGGTTAACAAGAAATTTAAAGCCACTCCAAACACCTGACAACAGTTCAGTTGACTACAGGAAGTTGAGGGCCATTGAGCCATGGGTCAACAGAAGTAGTGCTGGGGCAAGGGAAGGGGGTAGAAAACCAGAAAGGGGGGGGTGTCCTTTTTGAGCCTCTAATAGTTTAGGCTGCAGTCCAAACCCAAATCCTCACAAGAATGAACAGAGTTTGGAATCCACAGATCTCTGGCTGAGTTGGCTGGGCTCAGCCAGGGCTGTGCTACTTAAAAGTCCTTCATCCCAATTCAGCCAAAGTTGTGTTGGATAAATCCTCCATCCTGGCTCAACTGGCAGGGTGGTGCACCATTGCAGGCGTTGTGGCACTCACTCTGGCCAATATCTTTGCACAGCACTGACCTCCTCTTTGCTGCTTTGCTGCTGGCAGGAATTCTGAAGCGCTCCTTGCGGACAGAGGCATAGTAAGGTCAAGTGGTACCCAGTGCGGAAAATTTATTGTCACTCCCCCCACCCCATTGAAATTATTAAAAGAAGGAAAAATAAGATACAGTGGTACCTCCTGGTTACGTACTTAATTCGTTCCGGAGGTCCGTTCTTAACCTGAAACTGTTCTTAACCTGAAGCACCACTTTAGCTAATGGGGCCTCCCACTGCTGCCGTGCGATTTCTTTTCTCATCCTGAAGCAAAGTTCTTAAGGTATTATTTCTGGGTTAGCGGAGTCTGTAACCTGAAGCGTATGTAACCCGAGGTACCACTGCACTTACTTTCACAAGGGTTATTTTCTGGTTTATTTACTGAACATTGTGAGCATAAGCAGCTTTGGTTTAGCAACCTAGGAGGTCATCCGCAGCGATCGCGCACCCCAGAGCCCAACCGCTGTTGGCGGCCGCCTCGGCCTCCACAGGAGGCAGCCTCAGCCTTGGCCTCTGCAGGCCTCTGCTGGTGGCCACGGCCTGCTGCTTCCTCAGCAGGCCACCACAGCGGCCCAGAAAACCCAACCACTGCTGGCAGGGGGCTAAGGAAGTCGTCCTCAGCAGCATCGGGAAGTCAGCCTCAGCAGCATCAGTCCTTTCCTTGCCTTCGCCCCCAGCCTATTGGCCAGCTGGGTTGGGGGCAGGTCGAAGGTCCCAAGGCAAGGAGGGTGGCATCCGGGACCTGGGAAGCCCTGCCCACCTCTCGGAGAGGAGCTTCAATGAGTTTATTTTTAAAATACTTATTTTTTCCAGTTTGTCACCCCCCTCAGTGGTGATACCCGGGGCAGACCACCTGTATCACACACCCTTCCTCCGCCACTGCTTGCAGAGCCCTTTGCAATGTTGCTGGGTTTTGCTTGGCTGAAGTGACAAATGGAAAGGGTTCTCTGAAGTTAAAAAGCCTGAAAACAAAAAGCACTCCAGGTGGTGTACACACTATACCTTGAAAGCACATTATTTGCTCCACAGAATCCTGGGAACTGTAGCTTGTTAAGGGTGCTGGGAATTGCATCTCTGTGGAGAGTTAACTACAGTTCTCAGGAATCTTTTGGGGGAAGCAATGTGCTTTGAATGTACTTTAAATGTATTGTGTGTACACAGCCTCGTTTGAATTTTGCCCACTGTTGGTTCCTTGAGCCAAAGAGAAACTGATGCAACAGCACAGGCTGTGTGGGCTCTTTGCATAAGTGTAGGAGAGCAACATTCAGTTATTACTCAAAAGTGAATAAGTCAGTGTAACTGTGCTGTGTAAATTAAAAAGGGCAAGAGTCACAAATAGTTCTGTATTTGTTGGCAAACGACAAAAATGTTTCACTGGATTTGGCTGGGATTCCTTTCCTCTCTCTTAGTAATTCTTGTCCCAGTTGTGGTGAAGCAGGAATGAAGGCCTCTGATTCTTCAGATTCTGGTACATTCCAGTTTCCGTCATCTCTGACCCTTGGCCATCCTAACCAGGGCTGATGGGAGGTGGAATCCAACATCACATAGAAGGCCACAGGCTTCCCATACCTCCAATAAAACATGGCAAGGATGAGCTTCCTTTGGTGGCTGAGTTGTCCCTTTCAACTCTTGCAGGCTGGGCCCAGCCGCCTACTTCATTACTGTGTGGGAAGGTTAACACCTCATCTCTTTATTTGCAGTACATTCCAGAAATGGAATGCAGAGCTGTCACTTCACGGCGCATAATACTGCCTCATTACTCATCCGCTTGCACACAACGCATAACAGCTCTAGCCCTACACCTATGCTTCCCTTATTCACTTCCTGATTTAATTTAAAGAAACACACCTTGGAGTCAAGCAACCTAATTACGCTTGTGTTACTCATCCTACTGAGACAACCTAATTATAATCATAAATACACGTGGTAGGTGGAGATACAAGAGAGAATTAAGCCTGGCACATTAAATCGGGGATAAGTGTAGGAGTGTAGCCAAAAATATCTCCATTTGAGGCAGGAATGACTAAATAAAAGATTTCGGTCAAGGGAGTCAGATGAGGGGATCAAGGATGGTTCTTGTTGGGATTCCATTCCACCTTTTGCTGCAGACATGGGATTGTTGCGTGTCACATGTCTGTTTACATTCCAGCACAGATTGCTGGCGTGAGCGGAACTTCCGCTCTGTATCGCTTTTGTATTGCTCCTTGCCGAGAAGACAGCAAGGAGAGATGGCATGTTTTCTTTGTCCTGATTTATGTATGATAAATGCGTAGTTTAATATGTGTCTACAGCC